TTGATTCCACCTTAGAAGGCAAGATGGGTAGTTAATGAGTACGATTTCCTTAGCACCGTGCAGAGTTCAGAACAAATCTTCACAGATGCAGGAGGGGAAAAAAAATAAACGAGAATTTAGGAAGATTTCTAGTCTATTATATTTTCCAGCAGTTTCATGACTGACCAAATATGTGTCAGCGAGTTTTAAATCCAGTAAGACCAGGCGGAGAGATACAGCTGGACTTTTTGGACTCGGGAGGTAAGAAAACGATTAGAATATTCTGCCTTATTTTGGATGACTGAGGTGTTGGCAGGGTGAGGAGAGGCATGTGTCATCCTGGACCAGTCCAGAAGAGAGGTAATGGATTTTTCTTTGATTAAACATGGCATTCTCAATCCCCTTCCCCACTATGCTCTATAAAAGCATTTAATCTTTTACTTGTGTACAATATAAACATTTAGTTGTCATTATTATTTGCGTATTGAGTGTATGGGATAAGACTGTGTAGGGAACTGTGTCCAAGGAGGTCAAGTATGGTTGGGGAATGGAAGAACTGGAATAACTCAGAGATTGCGAGCTAACACAAACCATGTATCGCCCTGTGAGCTAGTGAGTGGTTCCACTTCTGAACATGGGCCCAACAGAAATGAGTGCCTGTGTCCACAAAAAAAGATATGTATAAGATAATAATGGCAATAACCTAAATGTCTATTTGCAGGAGAATAGATAAATAGATCTCAGTCTATTCATAAAGTGGAATATCCCCCTAAAGAGTACATACTGTGTGATTCCATTTATGCTTGTATTCTATTTATGCAAAGTGTTCACTGGAAAGGGGAACAGCGGAGTCAGCTGAGATGCTGGACATGTTTGACATCATGATCTGGGGTGGTTATGGGCGTACACATAAAAAAAGAATCAAGCACTCTTAATACTTGTGCCCTTGACAGGATATAAGATATATCTCAACAAAGTAATTGTATACAAAGAGTGTGTGAGGAATAAAATAAAGTGAGACGGTAACGCTGATGAGGGAACCCCTGATCCTTCCTGGGGGAATGAGATACATACCCAAGGGACTTGCTGAAGGACTTTGGGTTTCTGGTCAAGGTCTCAAGGGGGCGGGCGTGAGTCAAGAGGTGGGGTCAGGTTGACAGGACCAAGAGTAAGACAGTGGAAAGTAGGAGGGTGACAAGTAAGGATGTTTCAGAGGTAGAATATGTAAAGGAGGAGAGAGAGAGAGAGAGAGAGAGAGAGACAGACAGACAGACAGACAGACAGACACATGGTGGGGGGGATGTGTTAGGGGAGAGGTAAAAGCTGCAGGTAAGGCAAAAAATGTCTCTCAGTGTTCTCCTTTGGGTGACTGTTTGCTGAGGAGGCTGCTGACAGAGAAGGTGGAGGAAGAATGCATCTCAACTCCCAGGATGGGTTGGCAAGACTCCTCGCAGTCAGAACCAATCAGAGCAGCACCTCGTATGTGACTTAAAGCCTGGTTCATTTTGTTCCATGGATGCATCTTACAGCCTCTGCCCCTATGCTAGGCCTGCATTATGTAACACGTAGGTAGAACCTTTTCAGCGTCCTGAAGAGAAATTTAAAATTCAAAACCATGACGGCTTATGTTTATACATTGATATATTTTGGCACATTCTACACCGGATTCTCTCCTCTTTCAAACTGAGGTTCATGCAGGAGTACTGTTCATCGGGTGAAGGAATGCTAATGCAGATTTGGAAGCGCATGGGTACACCTTTCTTTCAAGTTCATGTCAAACAAAAAGTGGTATGCATGAAGGGACAGGTTAGCTATTCTCATTATTACTGTATCTGCTAGGGGATGATCTACCTCAACTTACTATTACGTTCATTTTGAGTTCTTGTGGTTGAGTGCTGTGGTTTTGGAGATGGGAGGTAGCTTGCCCTCTGCTTGTTTACTGCTGCCTGGCAAAACTGTTATCTCTCCTTTGTTTAAAACCTAATGAATGTGTTTTGAGTGCACATTCATTTTCATTTCCTCAGCATTCAGGGTGAAAGCTGGATGGATGGTATCTGGTTGTCAGGGAGAGTGACACTGGGTTGCGGAGGCTGTCTGCACCCTCCCTACCAGCCCTGGTTACAGACTGAATAAGCCATCTTATTTCCTGGGCTGGTCAGAGTAACTGATATGGCTCCTCCTACTGCTTTTCCTGCCCTGGGATCAGGGTAAGGATGGCTGACAGAGAGCTTCCTGTTTCCTGTTTGCCTCTAGGAGAGCACAATTCTAAATGGCCCCGTTTCTCTGCCTTTGGAAAGGCAATTGTCCTCTGCCCTAAATCAACCCTCATGGGAAGTCACCTGGGATCCTTTTCTTGGGAGTGCCTAGCCTTCTAGAGATAATACCGTGAAGAATTCCCCACCATGCTGCCTGTTGGAGGAAAAAGTGAAATGGTAAAATTGCTAATGCATTACAGCTATTGCTATAGCTGCTTTGAGCTACTTTGCAGAAGGTATTCTGAAATTAAAATGACTAACCCATCTTTTGAATATTTCTATATTTTATATACTTGAGTATGTTAACCAGGAAATTCTTGTAAATTTTTGATTTACAGATTTGAAAGAAAGACAAGTTACTTTTCTAGATCAATCTGTGAAATTTGTGGATTTGACGGATTAATTTTACGCCTCATGAAACCTATGAGTATTTTTAGTAAAGGGCTTCATTTTTGTGAAATGTGCAAGAATGTTAACGAATTCACATTGGGGAGCCAGGCATTTGACTGCAAAGTGACCCTTAGCCCAAGATTCAGGCTCTGCATGCTCTGACCTCGTCAGAGTGGTCTCAGCATTCTGTGGCTCTGGGAGTCAGTCCTCTGTCCCTGTGTAATTCCAGGACTTAGGGCCCTCTGAGTCTGCTTTACCTTTTCCAAACTAAGGCAGTAGTTCTCAAACTTTAGTGTGCACCAGAGTCACCTAGAGGGCTGATTATAGCATAGATTGCGGGGCCTCACCCGAGTTACTGATTCTGGAATGAGTTCAGGGAATTTGCATTTCTAAAAAAAATTGCCAGGTATGGTGCTACCTTTGGTGCAGGGACCACACTTTGGGGACCACTGCATGAGACCATTGCTTAAAGCTTCCATGATGGACAGGATAGTGGCGTTTCAAGTCTGCCCACATTCCAACTCCCAGACCCTGTGGATGTGTTCATTTACATGGCAAAAGGGACTTTAGTAGATGATTGCATTAAGGATCTTGAGATGGGTAGATTTTCCTGGGCTATATGAATGGGCCTAGTCTCATCAAAGGGGTCTTTACAAGAGTGAAGCAAATGGATCCAAGGCAGGAAAAGAAGTGGTGACAAGAGCAGAGGTTGGAGTAGTGAACTTTGAAGATGGAGGAAGGCATCACAAACCAAGAAATTCAGGCAGCTTTAAGAAGGTGGAAAAGGCAAAGAAATGATTCTTCTCTGGAACCTCCAGAAGGAGTATAATTCTAACATATGGATTTTAGTCTTGTTAGTTTCAAATTTTGGACTTCCAGAACTATAAGATAACATGACCTCCTACCCCATATTGCAGTCTGCCTAAATCCCACCTATGTTAGTTCAAATTTTAACAGATGTCTCCCTCACGCTGCGTCTGCATGGTGTTTTACTCATGGATCAAAGCTCAAAATTTTCTGTTTTCCTGTGAATTCACTGAGAATTTATTATCTTGACGAGTTCCATAGATTCAAAGGATCTCCTTCATTTAATAATTCATTATATCACAGATCTCCAGCTGAGGCTAATGATGAAAAATGATAATCCCTGCTCTTAAGAAGCTCCTAATCTTAATTAGCTTTTGAATTGCTGTGACCAAAATATGTGACAAGAATAACGTAGAGGAGGAAAAGTTTATTTGGGGCTCAGGGTTTCAGAGGTCTCAGGCCATAGATGGCCAACTCAAATCGCTCTGGGCCCAAGTTGAGGCAGCACATCAACAGGGAAAGACAGCAGAGGAAAGCTGCTCAGAGCTTACTGGGGTCAGGGAATGGGATGGGAGGGGCCACAGGAAAGATGCACCCTTCCAGAGCACATTCCCACTGGCTCACCTCCTCCAGCCTGGCCTGCCTACTGCTACCTCCCAGTCTGTCCATTCAAAGTAGGACGGACTGATTAGGTTCTAGCTATTACACTCCCACCTTCCTGCATTAACAGGAGCTTTGAGAGGACACCTCATATTCATACCATAAGGTAACCTATCAGGGCAAGCAGATACAGCTGGACATGTTAATCATATATATTACATACATGAACATGTCATTTAACTACAGGTATATGCCACATATATGTAAAATACCCTGTACTGCCTTACAGCACGATCATTCATTCATATGTCTTTCTACATAGAAATTGTAAAGTTCTGGTGGGGATGGGCAATTTCTAACGTCACTAATTTCCTGAAGGCAGTGATGGGCCCCTTTTGAGCTATGTGAATTATCTTAAAAGCCTAATAGCAAAATTATACTTTTATTATGTTAGGATCATGTGATCCGTGATTTCATAGTATATTTTATTTAATAAAGTCTTTCAAAAGTTTGGGTCTGTAGTTGAGGTGGAGAGAGATAGAGAGGAATCTTTTTCTTGGAACCAGTACTAGCACTTCATCAAGACAAGAATATTGAACAGATATCAAGAGGCCAAAGTCCTTGTTTTGGAGCAAGCAATTCTTCTGTAAAAATGAGTGAATCTAATCAGATTATCTTGAGTATTTTTTCAGCTCTAAAAATCTGTGTTTATGTAATTTTTGTGTCTCTTGCCACCCAAACGACCATGGCTTACATTCAAGAGGGACTCAATGCATGAAGTATTCGGAGTGCTATTTTGGAAATATTGGGCTGTTTTGTATTTAAGGCATTAATAAATTATAGGCATAGGGGTTCTCAGACACAAAATAAAATAAAACCCAGTCTCAGGATAAAGTTGGAAATAAAGTTAGGTGGGTTAAGGTACTGTAACAACTTCGTATATATGTTCTTTTTCTCTCTTTTTAACAGTTTCGATGTCCTAAGCATCTTGCAGCATCAGAAACAGGCCATTTAAGTGGTACCCAATGTGGTGGAGATCTGAAAGCCAGAGCATCAATTTGACAAATGCAAGTCATGAGAGATTATGATTCACTCTAAGGCAATTCTTCAAAAATCGTCCATCAGGACACTTCTGGTAATGCTGAGTTGCACAGCAGTTCTTAAACTGTCAGTGACTAGAAATGATGGATAAGTTTTGAAAATATATATTTTTGCAGGTGTGTGGGTTTTACTAAGCAGCAGGAGGTTGGGACATCACAATCCTATAGATAAGAGGGGTCCCAAAATGAACATATCCTTTGTGTTAGCTTTTCATCGCTGTGACCAAAATACCTGAGAAGAGCAATTTAGAGGAGAAAAAGTTTATTTTGGATCATGGTTTCAGAGATTCAGTCCATGGTGGGTTGGCTCCATTGCTCTGGGCCTGAATTGAGGCAGAACATCATGATGGAAAGGTATGGCAAAGGGAAGCGGCTCCTGGCATCGTCGAGGAAGAAGATGAGGGAGAGAGAGAGGGAGAGGCAAGGGGACAAGATAGAATCCCCAAGGACATAACCCCAGTGACCTATCTCCTCTAGCCACACTCCACCAGCCTGCAATTACCACCCAGTGCAGTAGTCCTTTCAAATGATCAGTGGGTTACATGGGTTAACTCACTGATTGGGTTACAGCTCTCATAATCTAATCATTTCCCTTTGAAGATTTCTGTACCGACTATCATATGAGCTTATTGGGGGGGGACTCTTTGTATTCAAACTATGACAAATTTTGTTGCTAATTTTTCAAGGCATTAGGTGATTCACAAGTGGAGGACGAAACATGAGGAAGCTGAATAGAAAAGAGAGGCCAAGAGGCTGAGAACACAAGCCTAACTTCTGCCAGTGTTGTGTAGCTGAAGGAACAATATTGGAATTTAGGGCCCACCAAGAGAGACGAGGAAACAAACCAGGCTTTCATTTGGCATCTCTAGAAGAATGCACGTTAGGAATAGGATAAAATATAGATTAAAAAGCAAAATGCTTTTTATACTAGCTCAATCCTTTGATGAAAAACTAGATTAAGGTTATCTGTTTGATTTGAATACAGGCCAGAAGCAAAATTAAACAGTTTCCAAAGAACTAGAACATCATTCAGTTGTCTCATTTAAAAAATCTTCAATGTCTGGCATATAATAAAATTATAGCAGTCGTACCAGTAGATGAAACCAATGATTAACCTCCCCGCACAAAGCAAACAACAACAAAATAAAATAAACAAAAACACAAAAAAGCAACCCCCCCCCCTCTCACACACACACACACACACACACACACACACATACTCCAGAGAACAAATACATACCAATAAAATATCCTGACATTTTAGATAGAGACAGGCTTTAAAATAATATATTCAAGAGATTAGATGGCAAGGTGGAGAATTTCAGCAGAGATCTGTATACTATGAAAGAAGGCTGAACTGTATTTTATAACAGAAAATATCCATAATTAAATCATAAACTCAATAGACAAAAACACACTTGACAGTGTCAAAGAAAAGATTAAGAAACTGGAAGATACATCAGAAAAAAATAACCAGAGAGGTCTATCTATTTAAATTAAAATATTGGTTTTCATAAGTGTTATGTTTGCATTATGCAAGTTTTGTATGTGTTTGTTAAATTTATACCTAGGCATTTCATTTTGGGTGATTGTCAATTGTATTACATTATTAGTTTCAGTGTTCATTGATAAATGTATAGAATTATGATTGAGTTTGGTTTGCTTTTCTTATGTTCTGAGATCTTGCTGAAATTATCTAATAGTTTTGGAATTTTCTTTGTAGATTTTTTGGGATTTTTTTTCTATGTTGATTATTGTGTCCTTTGAAATTAAGATTAGTTTTTTACTTCATTTATTGTCTGTATGCTTTTATTTTCTTTTCTTGTTTCATTGCCCTGGCTATAACTCCGAACACTATGTTGATTATGAGTGGTGAAAATGGTCTCCTTATTTTCTTCCTTTTTATAGGAGAAAAACATTTTTTTTCTCCTTTCAGTAAATGTTAGCTTCATGTTCTTAGTAAGTGCTCAATATTAAGCTGAGGAAATTCTTCTTTATTCTTATTTATTTTAATAAATGCATTGAATTAAATTTTTTTTGTAGATGGACACAATACCTTTATTTTATTTATTTATTTTTATGTGGTGCTGAGGATCAAACCCAGTGCCTCATGTGCACTAGGCAAGTACTCCACCATTGAACTACAACCCCAGCCCCAGAATGCATTGAATTTTATTAAATGCTTTTTCTTTATGAATTGATATAATTTTATAATCCTTCTTCCTTAGCCTGTTAATATTGTAGACTTTATTAATGAATTTTAAAATATTGAACCAGACTTTATTATTGGAATAAATCTCACTTGGATATGATATACAAGTCTTTTTATATATTGATGAATTTTATTAATATCTCATTGAAAATTTTTCATTTATTCCTGAAGCATCTTGGTTTATAGTTTTCCTTTAATTTGTTACTTTTTTCTCATTTTGATATCAAGAGTAATGTTCACTTTATAAAACAAATTGGGATGTATTCCCTTTTTTTCTTTTATTGGAACAGAGTGTATTAATTCTTAAATGTTTGGTAGAAATTTTCAGTGAAACCATCTGGGCCTGGAGATTTCTTTATTGAGAGCTTTAAAATTGAGAACTCAATTTCATTAAATGGTTATATGGCTATTCAAATGATCTTTATCATATTGTAGTAAAGTGTTTCTCAATGAATTGATCCATTTTATCTAAGTCATTAAACATGTGTGTGGAGTTCTTTATAGTATTCTCTTGTTATTCTTTTGATGTCTGCAGTGTCTGCAGTTATTTCTTTATAATTTCTGATATTTTTATTGAGAATTAGTGTTTTCTTTCAATTTTGTCAGTCTTGCTAGATGTTTGTCAATTTTTTTTGGTCTTTTCAAAGCACCAGTTCTTTCTTTGTTTTTCTGTTTTCAATTTCATTGATATTGACTCTTTATTATTTACTTTCTTCTTCTTGATGTGGATTTCTCCTCCTCCTCCTCCCCCCCTTTTTTCTTCTTCTTCTTTTCCTCCTCCTCCTCCCCTTCCTCCTCCTCCTCCCCTTCCTCCTCCTCCTCCCCTTCCTCCTCCTCCTCCCCTTCCTCCTCCTCCTCCCCTTCCTCCTCCTCCTCCCCTTCCTCCTCCTCCTCCCCTTCCTCCTCCTCCTCCCCTTCCTCCTCCTCCTCCCCTTCCTCCTCCTCCTCCCCTTCCTCCTCCTCCTCCCCTTCCTCCTCCTCCTCCCCTTCCTCCTCCTCCTCCCCTTCCTCTTCCTCCTCTCCTTCCTCCTCCTCCTCCCCTCCCTTCTCCTCCTACTCCTCCTTCTTCTTCAGGTTAAAGTTTAGATTGCCGATGAGAGACCTTTCCTTTGTTTTTTCTAATAATTGCATTTTTGTCCTATTAAGTTTACCTTTCACTGTTGCTTTAGCTTTGTGTTACTAATTTGATATGTCACATTTTTTTCACTTAAAGTTTCATTTCCCTTGAGACTTCCTCTTTGACCCCAGAAGAAAACCTTATTGTATTCATCCATCTTTTTCCTTATCATGCTGTTTATTCTTTTCTGATACACCCATCTTTTTCTTCTTTCATTTTTTTCCTGTTTAGATTAACTCTTTGTAGTTAGTTTTTAATTTTACCCAAGGATGTCTTTCTTTCTCCTTCATTCCTTAGGATATTTTTTTTTCTCTGAGAATACAATTGTGGGTTAATAGTTCTTTCAGCACAAAAGAAATATTGTGCAAATTCCTTGTGGCTTCCATAATTTCTGATGAGAGATCCACTGTCATTCTTTTCTCACTCTGGCTGCGGTTTTTCCGTTTTATTTTTTGACTGCTTTCTAGATTTCTCTTTGTCTTTAGTTTTCAGATGTTTGATTATAATGTGAGTTAGCATGGAACTGTTAGACATTTTTGTATTGTCTTATGAAACTCTGAATCTTATTTAGACTTATTTATTAGAATCTTATTTATAAATCTAATAATCTTATTTATTAGAATATTCTGTTTTAGCTGGATTTTTCTGGTATTGCTCCAGCAGGGGAAGGAGAGGTGCTGCTTTGCTACTGCCAGGTGGAGGTAGAAATATAGGCTCCCTGTTGACTCTTTGACACTTGAGGTTGGGGTTTCTTGTAGATGCTGAGTGGGAAGACAACTTTTGCCTTCCTACATGGTCTTCACCAACCATGCAGTTGGGATTGGCTTATTGCTATTTGGTGATGGTTGAAGTCCTGACTTGTCCTAAGCATCCTCTGATATCACCTGGTAGGAAAGAAGAGGATTCCTCTTTATTGTTGGGTTGGGGTAGAAGTCCAGGCTCCTACAGGGCCTCCACTGACACTGAAAGTCCTTGCTTCCTACTTGGCTTTCTGTGATACCACCCTGCTGGAGGGTTATGGTTCCATTTGTGTTGCTTTAACAAAATGGTTAATTCATAAGGAACAGATTATTTCCCACAATTTTGGAGAAATCCAAGATCAAGGCATTGGTAGGTTTGCTGTCTGTTGAGGGCCCAAACTATCCTTTCAAGATGGAGCCTTATTCTTGTGCCTTCTGGAAGAGATGACTGCTGTGTCCTTATGTGATAGAAGAGAAGAAAGGCAAAAGGGGTAGAGTCCTCCTGGCCCAATCACCACCTAAAGTCCCCAACTCTTAATTTTGTTGCATTGGGTGTCAAGTTTCAACACACGTTTTTAGGGGTTTGCGAGTATTCAAACCCAATCAGCCACCTTGTCATGGTTATATGAGGGTGCAATTGAGGCTCCTCACTCAGGCTTTGCTGGTGGGGGGTGTGGTGAAGCCACAGGTTTTGTTTTGCTATTTTGTGATATTTGGTTAGAGTGGAATGGTATGGTCCAAAAAAATTTGTGTTTTGCTAGGTTGTTCCTTTTCTTTAGTTATTTTTATGTGGTGCTGAGGATTGAACCCAGGGCCTCACACATTCTAGGTGAGAGCTCTACTGCTGAGCCACAACCCCAGCAAGGTTGCCCCTTTTCTGGTCCTTTAGCTAGTGAGGGCAGCCATTCATTGGAACTTTTCCTCCTTTCATTTTAAAAATCTGCACCTATTAGCATTCCTGGGGTG